TCCATCATGCTCTTGTGCCTACGAGGAATCCCCTCAACCTCCAAGGAAGTGATGCCCAACTGCAAAAGCAAAGGTTTTTTTTTATTGCTAAGAACCAACTGGGCTGGGACCTCACTCTATCAGAAGAGTAAGACCCCTGCTTACAATTGCGAAGTGTTTTTAGAAGGGAAAATGGAAAGGGAGGCTTGAGACAGCTAGTCTCAGCTCACAAGGTTTCCAAGGTTACAGGGATTTTACAGAATACAAAGTTTCTTTACAAGGCCATCCTGGATCAAAATGAACAGTAACTGTCATCTGTGTAGGCAAGATTGATTAGCACACCTGTAGGGGTTTTTAATTTTTTTAGGACTTGTTCTCAAGTGGCCTTGTTCTCAAGATAATGGGGCAGGGAGGAAGTCAACATGGCTGGTGGGGCTCTGGCTTTCTTCTTTATCTCCTGCATGTGGGCTCTGGTCCTGCACTCTGCGGTCAGGGAATTATATACTGCCTGGAACTCCTGTTCTCTCTAGTTTTTCCCTTCTTGCCATGAGCCCTAATTTATACCATTTAGTTATTAATTTTTCATCACACTTGCAAGGAGTTCAGAGAGCTCAAATCACTGCTATGGCTTCTGTCTAAATAACAACAGACTTGGGCCCAGATGGGCTTACACTCCCCCTGAAGGCTAGGTGATATATGCAGCTATGGAGTGTCTTTAGGATTAAGGGAGGTAACTGCTATTTGCCCTTTATACACGATAACAGAAATCTTCTGCCGTTGTCCCCACCTTTGGTTGATGACTTAAGTTGGGGGATGAATAAACTGGGTGCATTCAGTATGGACCGAACCTGCCCTCCTGACCCTATCCTATGTCTCTGTCTTTCCTTTATCGTCTATAGCTAACCTTTCCGCCATCCACACACCCCTACTCAGGAATGGACCCTGGGCTGATCATCTGGTTCATATTACGGCCCCACAAACACCAGTCCTCGACACTAAGTTACTTAGGGATTGGTGCTTATCCCAGCCTTCCTAATGCAGAGACGAGAAGCATGGTTGGCCAGGCCCATCTGTAGACCTCCGTTTCTTAACAAGACTTCGCTTCCCTTTACTGGAGAGAGAGATGTGGAGTGAGGGAGAGGAGGCAGCAACCTTCTTGTGAGGTTCAGCCAATGTCTGTCTAATGCTGGCAGCAGAGCTATACTCCAGTGATTGAAGGAGAATAAAGGTCAGAAAAACATGGTGATTTCAGGCTGAGAGTCTCTACCTATCCTTTTCTAACTATGGCAAGGTGCCACAGTAGAATGCAATGCCACCAGGACCTTGATCCTGCCAAGCCTGGTGATCTGGCACTGAGCTTGGGTCATTATTCCAACCCAGAATTCCCAGTGGGAGCCATGGACTTGCATTTCATGCAGTAGCTGTCACAGTCCTCACACTTTGGGGAGAGGTATATAGCTTTCACCTACTAATAGAAAGAAGTTAGGAACCTTTGCCGTAGGCCACACAGTGCATTGAACTAAATCAGCCTGGGATACAGAGGGAGATATTTTCTAAGGCAAACAAACAGACCAACCACTGAATGTGTTTCCAATGTAATATAGTCAATCAAATGTTAATTTAAGTAAATTCTATTTTGAAATTGATATCGAACTATTGGAAAACTTCAGCTAACATTGTAACATCAGAGTCAAGGAAATCCTCTTTTCTGGTGGGGGGATTCACGATCTCTAAGTATAAATGTAAGATTTTATACGAAGAGTAAAAAAAGACAAAGAACAAAAGAACATCTTTGGAGAAAATGTAGGTCTCCAATTAAGACAGGCTGTTAATTGCCACAACGTACCCCAGATCTCAAGCACAGCCTGAGGAAATAACAAACACATAGCCAGGCCTGGAGATGTCAGCTTACACACCCAGATACTTCAGAAGCTGAGGCAAGTTGACCTTTAAAGGCCACCCAGAGCTGTAAGTGAGACCTAAAACAAACATCTGGGAATGGTGGCACAGGTCCTTAATCCTGAAACTAGGGAGGAAGAGTCAGGAGGACCCAGAGTTCAAAACCAGCCTGAGCTACATAGTGAGACACTTTCTAAAACAAGACCACAGAAAGAAATTATGGGGGCTGTGGATATAGCTAAGATGGTAGAGTTCTAGCTTACATAACATAAACCAGACCCTGTGTTTAGTCCTCAACACTCATTAATGTGGCTCTGATGGCTCCTGCTTGTTTTCCCAGCACCTGGGAGATGGAGGCAGGGGTATCAAAAGTTCAAAGACATCTTTGGCTACAAAGTGAATCCAAGGTCAAGCAGGCCTACATTAGACCTTGTCTCTAAAAGAGGGAAGACATTATGGTGCAATATTAGCCCAATGGCCTGCTGATCAATCAGGAGGACCATATGGGTGGAGTCAGCCTTGGCCACTGAGCCATGATGATGGTGATGGTTTCAGGTCCTTGATAACTGAAATTGCTTCTGTTAAAAATACTTGGGGAAAGTCTTTGTAACTGAAAATGTGATGATGGTGTATTCTAAAATGACCATAAGTCCTGCTCCATTTCCAGAGGGAGGGAATTGTATGCATGTGCCTCACACTCCCTTCATCCCATGCTGAGGAAGAAATTCAGAACTTGATGAATTCTGGACAAAGACTCTACCAACTTAGCCACATCTGCAGGTAATTTTGTCCCATAATGCCGCTGAAATTTGAAAGTTTTCTGTGGATGCCAGTGTTGTTTACATGGTTCCCTCTCCCTCTTCTTCCAGATGACTCAACACAACCTTCCAGCTCTTCATTTGTCGTCAGTGTTTTTGTAGATTTTAGGATAAGAAACAACCGACCTCAGAGAGAAGATAACATCCGCATCTAAGCCATAGACATGTACAACCTTCCACGATCCATACACGTGAACTATACAAGTTTATACCAACTGATATTTTCCCACATGACTGATGAATAGTAAAGTCCACAAAGTGAATGGTTGTAGGAAACATTGTCAGTAAAGTAAAGCTTGGGGCTTACTGGTATGGAATGAATGTATATTGTGTGTGATAGGGTATGAGGTGTGTGTGTGTGTGTGTGTTGTGGTGGGAACAGGTCAGAAAGTTATAGTTTGGATGCCATATCTAGAAACAATGATAAAATTTAATTGTCCTCATAACAATGTTAGGAAGTGAGGTTTCCAATGTGTTATAAGGTCATAACCTTTTGCATTTGTGTTACTGGTTGATTGTTAATGTTGTTCAAATGTGTGCTTGAGCAAGTGGTCCACAACAGCTGGCTCTGTTCAGGAGATGATGGAATCGTTAAGAGGTGGGGCCTGACTGGTGGAAGTAGGTTGCTCAGAGCGGGATATCCATAGATTATATGATGGTTATAACCTAGGCCTGATTCCAGATTGTCTCTTTCTTGGTTGTCATCTGCCACTGTTATGTGACCAACCACAGCTCTCATATCAAGCCTGGAGCCCCAACTGACAAGGATTCCAACCTTTGATTAGCACCATCATGTTTATCCTAACAACCCAATTCTGGAAACTTTTTTCTGCATGGGTTGCTTTTCTTGTCACTGCGGGCAAATTCCTGATATAAAGCAACTGACAGGAGAGATTTCTTTTCTATTAGTCTCATGGCAGATTAGGTGCAGCTTTGGTCTAACCATGGGAGCCTGTGGTTGTTCTTATATATGGCATATGGAAGAAGGATGAGGGGGATAAAGAGGAGGAAGAGGACATACTATATAGACACACACACACACACACACACACACGCGCGCGCATGCGCACGCACACACACACACACACACACACAGAGAGAGAGAGAGAGAGAGAGAGAGAGAGAGAGAGAGAGAGAGAGAGAGAGAGCATGCAAAGAGGGAGTCAGAGAACTTCATATTCTGTGAAGACAGCCAGGAGGAGAGAATCATTTGTCATTAGTCACAATGATCAGAGACTGTTTTAGTTAGGGTTTCTGTCTCTGTGACAAAACACCAGGACTGAAAGCAACCCGGGGAGGAAAGGGTTTATTTTGCTTGCATCCCCTGCTTAGAGTTCATCATCCAGGGAAGTAAGGGAGCCTAGAGGTTGCAGCTGCAGCTTGCTCCCCATGGCTGGCTCAGTCCTCTTTTTATAGACCCAGGACCACCAGCCCAGCGATGGCAGCACCTCAGTGGACTGAACTCTATCAATTGTTATTAATCCCTAATTTAAAAATTGCCCTGCAGTGTGGTTTTATGGGTGCATTTTCTCAGCTGAATTCCTTCCTCTCAAATGACCCTAGAGTATCAAGTGGACATAAAAGGTAGCCAGCACAGGCACCCAGAGGTTCTGACGGCTCCTCTGCAGGCGTCAGCCTCTCTCTCCTGGCTCCCAGCCTCTGCACTCCTGATTCTCTTCCCTCTCCTTCCTCTCCCTTCTCCCATCTGCGGCTGGCATGGGCCAGGGAATACAGTGAGGACCCTGGAGAAATTGCATCTGCAGCCTCTCAAGGACTCAGGTTGGGGACTGCATAGATTCACCGAGAGACACAGGGGACCATGCAGCATTCCTCTTGTCACTTATTGCAATCACATTCCCATATGGAGCTAAGAGCATACAGAAGGGCCTGCACAGTTGAAGATTATACATGCAAACACACCCGAGACATGCAAGACTAGACCTGCTAGCATATCTAGACTCAAACACAGATACACACAGGTGCACATTCATATTAGAAAAGCATACAGCACACATTCAGGTCCATGCCTGAAACAGTGCTAATGAATATGCATGTGTGTACTCACCCCCAGAAATCTACAGGCATTACTCCCAATGCCCGTCTGTCCTGTGTATCTGTTTCATGGTGTCCCTGACAACATCTAGGGTGGGGGGGGGGTAAGGGGATGAGGAGTGAAAAGGTCACCGGCGGGGCAAGCAGGAAGTATGCGTGCTCACACTCCTGCACTAAGATGAGACAGGAGGCGGGGACAGCTGAAGTTGCATAACTGGGTGGAGAGGCAGCTTCAGCATAAAAGGTCCTGCTGGAGTGTGCATTGAAGTTGACATTGTTGAGACGGGAACCATGGAGCCTAGTGTCCTGCTCCTCCTCGCTTTCCTCATGGGCTTCTTACTGCTCCTGGTCAGGGGCCACCCAAAGGCCCGTGGGCACCTCCCACCAGGACCCCGCCCTCTGCCCCTCTTGGGGAACCTCCTGCAGATGGACAGAGGAGGCCTCCTCAATTCCTTCATGCGGGTAAGACTTTCATGGGGCCTTTGGGTGGGCTTGCCCCTGCTTTTGTCTATGGAGATAATCATCAGGACGAGCAAGTGACTCCTTCCAGGCCATAGGTTCAGGTGGGAAGGTCACTGGGTGTAAGGTGAGATGATAGTTGGTGAAGGATTGTGCACACATTTACGGGCTTGTTCTTGCTATGCTGGAATGGTGTGGGGCACTGTGTTTGGAGTGTGAAAGGTGTTCAGGTGTTGATGTGCAGTTGTGTAGAATTTCACTCTATTGGGACCTGTCTATTCCAGTAGAGAAAGAAAAATGTCTGAGGCATCAATAACCGGTTTTGCTCCTGTCAACAAAAGAGAGAGCAAAGATTAGCTTGAGGTGTTGAGGGATAAAGGGGAAGATAAGCAGGATGAGAGGTGAGTTAGGAATGCTTATCAGTTTCTTCCACTAGCTAGAGTTATATTTTCCAGTCTTTGCATTGATGCTTAACTTGGGATTTAATGCTGAATCGCCACTTCTTTATTAACATTTAATCATCACCCGTAGTCCTACCTTCTAGCAGAGAGCTCAAACAGTGGCTGAAGTTCCACTGTTCTATCTCTCCCCATGGTTGTGAATATCTCCCTCTTGAACCTTGTATTATCACCTCCTGGCTTTTAAAAGACTCTGTCCCCACCATTGATGGCAAATTTAGTTATTTTAATTCACATTTTTGGGACAGGGTCTCCCCGTGTTTTTTAGGTTGGTTTCCAACTCCTGATTAGCCTTGTGAATGCAATGACAAGTGTGGGTCACCATGCCCTGACATGAGTCTTTGATACATGTGCTTCCCACATGTTAGAAAGCTCAAGTCAACACCCTATTGATTTTTAAAATCCTTGGACAATTTAACATATGCATGTACTGGATCTCATTTATTTGTTTTCCCTCCTTTCCCTCTCTCCACCCTCTTTCTCTCATATTAACCTTTCTTTTTGCCAACAAGACCCTTCCTACCTTGATATCCTATTGTTTTTCCCCAATGAGTCTAATTAGTGTCATTCAGAGTGGGGTTATGTGTGGCTGATTGCTTGAAGACCACTAAGCACAAAGAGAAAGACACCTTCCAGGCTCTAACTTCAGGAGGGAAGGTTGCTGAGGCAAAGGTTAGATGCTGACTTCTCTACAAGCATGGGTTTGGCATATTTACTCATGAGTATCTCATGAGTGACTACTGCACCAAAGAAACACCTTTCCTCAGCACCACTAACTGTCCATTAGACCCACAGAGAGTGGCGGTAGCATGCTGTCATAGTGAGACAATGCTGCATCTTTTCCCTCATACAAATGGTCGTGAGCCACCATGTTGTTGCTGGAAATTGAATTCAGGACCTCTGAAAGAGCAGCCAGTGCTCTGAACCTCTGATCCTTCTCTCCATCCCCATGGGGGCACTGATCTTAATGACATGAACTCACAGAGTCTATGAAATGTGCAGTCAGCAGGAAATTAGAGCCTATACCAGCTCTGGTGTGATGGTTGGTTGCCCATCTAACTATATCTCTTTAACAATAAAGAGTCCTATGTTCCACCTCATGGCATGATAGAGGTAGAGTCAAGGAACAGAGCTGCATCCTGAAAACCCAGGAGATGACACCCAGGATTTAGATGTAGAGTAAACATTAATTAGATATCTGTTCACCTGGATGGTACAGCACACAGGCTAAGAAAAATGGTGCTTCTCCCCAAGGTTTACTTTTCTTTCACATGTATGAACTTTGCCTGCACGGATGCATATGTGCCACAGGCATGCCTGGTGCTCAAAAGAGGGTAGTTACAGATGGTGTGAGTACCATGTGGGTCCTGGGAACTGAACCCAGGTCCTTTGCAAGAACTGCATGTTTCCAGCTCCAGCCCCAGTTGAGTCTGAAGATCATCTGAGGTCAGTAGCGGTCTCTATAAGAAGTAGGATATGATGATTCCCCAGGATTCTCTGGAGGGAGAACAAATGGGCAAAGGCTGTTTCTGAGGGACAATGGGGGCAGATAAGAAGGAGTAGTCCAGGGTGAATGAGAACATGATGTAATGGAGAAGAGGGAGGTGTTGAATTTTGGGTCTGTGGGAAGGAACTGGCTTGACTGAAGCCAAGAACAGTAGGATGTGAAATGTCCACCCAGGCCAGCAAGAGAGCATCTCCTGGTGACTTTGTTCTCCATTTGTATAACAAGAGGCAAGAGGCTCAGTCTTTTATAAAGTAATGGGGTTTATGGTCATGAAATGATGCATCACTGGTTAGGGATGCTTGCTGCTTTTCCAGAGGATCCAGTTTGGTTCTCTGCACCCATATCTGGCAGCCAACTACAGCCTCTATCTCCAGCTCCAGAGGATCCGATGCTTCTTCTAACTTCTGGGAGTACCCACACCCATTGGGCACACATACACACACACACACACACTCACACACAGGCACACACACAATTTCACACATACACATATTCACACACACAGAAAACACAAACACACACGCATGCACACTCAATCACACATACACACATTCACATATACACACACAAAACACAAACACAAACACAAACACATATAAACACAAATACATTCACACAAATACAAAAATCACACAAACACACAAATACACACACAGACAATGAAGATTAAAGAAAGATTAGTTTACAATCATGAACAGAGAGTCCTACATCAGGCACTCCTTTATCCAGCGTCTGGTCAGAAACTTTCTCATGTGTTACAGTAAAGTAGAGGACAGAAGAGGCTAACTACATGGCATGGCATGGCCTTGTTTTATAATAACCCATTCTCTGAAAGTTCAGCCCTCTCTATGAGACCAGCATTGACCTATTCTGCACATCTGCCCCGAAGACCCTACTAGCCTTCAGCTCCCAAGGGCTCTGCCATCTCTTAACACAACCACATTGGCAACCAAGCCTCCATCAGAGAACCCACAGTGGACACTTTAACCATGTTCAAGACATATCACATGGAAGAAGCAAGCAGATAGAGCAGCTCCAGATAGATGGGTCCCAAGTGGCAGTGATGTCCCATGGTGAACCCCAGGAGCAACCAGCTCAGCAATCTCAAGTGTGGTGTGGATGAGCTCAGAGCAGGACTCAAATTCAGCTGCTAAAGGCCCTGACAGCTCCATGTCAATTCCAAATTGCTTGTTTTCTTCCACATGCCTGGGTTTGCTGGCATGGAATCTGGAATGTTCTCTGGGAGCTTTTGTTGTGGCTCAAGAAACAGGTCTACTCTCCAAGCCAGCTGTGTTGTTGGAATTGAGTGTGGGCTTTTGTTATGAGTTTTGTTCAGACTGACATTTTAAGTATGATGAAATCCTGTTGGCCAGGAGTAGAGAAACAAACCCAAGTTGTGGCCTCAAGTAATCATCAACATTTGGACTAAAAACATTCAACTGCTTTTCTAAGTCTTTAATTTTTTTAACCTCAAGGGCAGTCTTATTAGCATTTGAGAGGAAAACACCAAAGCAGGCAGGCTGTGAATCTTGGTGGCTGCCAGAGGAGGGAGATGAAGAGGACAATCGATGCTGCTTGTAGATCGCCACATGGAGAAAGAGGGCATGTGTGGGGGAATCAGAGAAGGAGAGAGGAAGCTCAGAGCACCAGGGAGCACAGGCCCAGCCTTTGGTAGAGATCCAGAAGGATTGAAAACAAAAGAAAAGGACAAGTGTGGCTCTCCGTTCTCGGGGAGCATCAGCTGCCTGCAGGTCCATGAGGGACAGGGGAGCCGAAGTGAATGAGCAGAGACAGACAGTGTGACAGGTCTCTGGGGAGACAGTTCGAGCATTAGCATAAAGCACAGTATACGTCTTAGTTATCATATGTGGAAGCATGGGATTACTCTAAAGCTCCCAGCACAAAGTCTAATTACCATATGGGCAGCAGGGGGATAGCTCTAGCAGGGAACTACGTCAAAGGTCACACAGAGATGAATCAGGCACCAGGCCCAGAGACCTTCTCCAAATAAGCAAAGGTAGAGAGCAGACATCATGCTGGGGAGGGAGTCCTCCTAGAGAGAGCTGCCAGGCCTTGGTAGACCACAACCTCTGACCAGCAGGGCCTCCCAACAGCAGAGGGACTAGAAAAGCTGCTGATGGGAGTTGAGGTTAATGGACAAGCAGCACACCAGTGCAATAAGGGAGTGGTCATTCCTCCCAGGTGCAATAAGGGAAAGATTATTCCTCCCATCTGCTTATCATGGTTAAAGTGAGTCAGCTTTTCCTTGGTCATGTATCTTGGGTGGGTGATTGATAGGGTCAGTAATTAACTCTTAAGGGTGGAGTCAATCTTTGGAGATGGTAAGAATATCCTGTCTCCATTCAGGACCAGAGGGAGGAGAGAGGAGGGATGAGGGAGGAGAGATGAACGAGGAGGGATGAGAAAGGTATGAGGAGGGATGAGCTTTTAAGGCTTCGTAACCTTCTCCTCTTAAGAATGGGCAGTCTAGAGGCAGGTGGACCTATGTGAGTTTGAGGCCAGCCTGATCTACAGAGTGAGTTCCAGGACAGCCAGAGCTACACAGAGAAACCCTGGAGGGAGGGAGGGAGGGAGGGAGGGAGGGAGGGAGGGAGGAGAGAGAGAGAGAGAGAGAGAGAGAGAGAGAGAGAGAGAGAGAGAGAGAGAAAGAGAATGGGCTCTCTAAAACAGTTTATGAGATGGGCTGAAATTTGGTGATGGAACATTGGTTTCAGTCACATATAGCTCCATGCAGAAATTCTCATTTAGGGGAAGACTTAAGAAGGACTGGGATTAGAGGTGGTGGAGGTGGTGCAGGAGAGGTGGCTCAGCAGTTAGAACACTGACTGCAACTTAAAGGACCTGGTTTTAGTTCTCAGTACCCCAAATAACCTGCTCACAACCATCCGTAACTCCAGTTCTAGGGGATCAGGCTTCCTCTTCTGGCCTCTGAGGGCATTACATTATGCATCACACTTACATATATGCAGGCATAACACTCACACAAAATGCATTGCACTCCCTTGGTAGTCTCACAAGACCATGCATGTGTGTCTGCTTACTAGAGCTCCTCATCACGCTTTTAAGTGTGACCCCTTATGCTTGATTCAAGAGTGGTGAACCTGAGGTTTATTTTCAAATGCTCTGACAGCTGTCGGTATGGTTAGAGTCACATTCTGAGGTCCATCTCATAGGGATCCTAAAGTCCTGGAGTGTGACCACTTCCTCTATCCTCACAGGCACTTCTTTAGAGTTCCATCCTATTCCCAGTGTCAGAACCTCAGGCAAGTGCTAAATCTCAGCAGTTTCTGCAAGCAGAAGACAGGTGGAGAGACATAGAGGAATCTATGCCTTTTGTAAGCTTCCACATGGTGAAACGTGAGTGGGAGAGCTTCAGAAAAGAGAGGGAAGCCTCAGAGAGTCAGGCGTATCAGCCCCAGCCCTTGGCGGGTCTCCGAAAGAACAAGAGATAGAAAGGAAGTTTTGGAAGAGTCATGACTTTCTGAATCAAGACTCAGAAGAGGGGGCAGGTCCCACGGTAGAGAAAGTTCTGCTAGGGGCTGCCTAGAATGTGGAAAGGAATGTAATTAATTATTGTTATTGCATCATTCTTGCAGGGTTTTGTTTGAGTGTATATGTACTTTGTTTCAGGCGGACACACCCATTACATGGAGGCCAGATGGAGGCACTGGTTGACCTCTGTCACTCTGTCTATTCCTTTAAGGCAGGGTCTCTCTCTTACCCTGGCCTTGGCATTCCCCCAGCTAGGCTGGAGAACAAGCCCCATCATCCTCCTGTCCCCACCTGCACCTTGGAGCTGGGGTTACAGGTGTGCTGGGGACTCCATGCTTATCACTGGGGTGCTGGGATACAAATCTCAATCGTCGTGACGTAGCATCGAGTGCCGGGCTGGAGCTACCTCTCCAGCTTCAGTTATACCGTGAAATGATTCCTTCTAATTTTGTGTGTAAAAGTGTTTCACCTGCACACATGTCTGTGTACCATGTGTGCACTTGGTGCCTGCAGAGGTCAAAAGAGGGCATTGGGTCCCCTGCAACTGGAGGGGAATATAGTTGTGAGCTACCATGTGGGAACATGAGATCCTGACTTCTGAACCATTTCTTCAGCCAGCCAAGTTTTAACTTTTTAGCTATAATATTGTTGAAGTTGATCATCAGCCTTCCTAATGCTGTAACCCTTTAGTACAGTTCCTCATGTGGTGGTGACTCCCAACCATAAAAGTATTTTTATTGCTACTTCATATCTGTAATTTTGCTACTATTGTGAATCATAATGTAATATGTGTTTTCTGTTGGTCTTAAGTGACCCTGTAATTGGATGGTTCTTTTCCCAAAGGGGCCAAGACACACAGGTTGAGAACCACTGCTCTAAAAGAGCACTTCTCCGTGACTTTCCACAATGAACACACTCTTATCATCGATGTGCAGATCACCACACATTGAAATTTGTCCCTGTCTTATGTGTTATGGTTTCTACCTTCTCACTATACTGACCCAGTGTGTTGACTTTACCTGATAGGCAGGTTGCTGTTTCACTGATGTACAGAATCCCCCAGTGTGGGCTCGCCACTGTCTGTTCTGTGTTTCGCTTTACTAAGAAGCTCCCTTCTAGAATAATCTCACTCATTTATTAGGTTACCATGTGTATGTATTTTTGTTGTTGTGCAAGCACTTGGAGGTGGAGTTTCTCTCTATGTTTATAATCAGCTTTGGAAATTATAACTGATTGTCCATAAAGGCATATTCTCTACTCACAGATTCAACCAGCTGTAGACTGAAAATACTTAGAAGAAATGCACTCCGGGCTAGGTGTAGCTCAAACCTGCAACCCCAGTACTTCAGAGACTGAGGCAGGAGAATGACAAGTTTGAGGCAACTTAAATGACAGAGTCAGCCTGGCTTACATAGCAGGATCCTGTCTCAAAACATAAACACATGTAAATAGCATATTTATTAAAATTTTTCTTAACACTATTTCACAAATAACATCAGGCACTGAGCATTGTCATAGGCTTTCATTTCTCTTAGCTGGATTGCAAGATAGAGTGAATTAAAGTTTACAAGAGAACGAGGGTGGGTTATTTACGAACACTGCACCCTTCTCCCCAAGGGCTTTCAGCACTGGGGCATTGTGTTATTCCTGGGACCAATTCCCTGTAGATGCCAGATGTTGGCATTGCTAGGTATTTTCCCAGATGTCTGCACTGTAGTCATGACTCACATGGGACAATCACTTTCCTGTCCCACGTAATCCAGTGGGTGTGTCAGAGTCATTGTGTTGAATGTTGTCAGGAAGCCTTGAACTGGATGAAGCTGGACCACAGGAAGCATGCTTCTTGATTGAGATTCCAGATCTGTCCAGACTGAAGGTTATGGGCAATGACCTGCATCTGTATTTACATCCATATCTCTGTCTCTGTGTATGTATGTATGTATGTATGTATGTATGTATGTATGTATGTATGTATGTGTCTTTCTGTCTATCTATGTGTCTATCCATGTATCTATCCATCCACATCCATCTCAGTGTGTATATCAATATCTCTATCTGCAGCAGCAGGTTAAGACCTCTCCCCTCACCAGTGAGAATTTACTTCAAACACCTGAGAAATAAGAAAGCAATCTCTTTCGCAATGCACATCTTGTTCTGGCCAACGTCCTAGAGAAACTCACCTCAAACAGAAAATTTTCACAGCTTCTGTAGGGCGTGGTCACGAGCAATTGTCATGTGCTGTCATCTGTAAATATCTTTCAGGTTCCGTTAGAGAGTAAGGTCAAATTTATCCAAAGCACCGCACTCAGTGCCACTGCCCTCCTGGAGGGTTACACCCTTCCTGGTAGGAGAACCGTCACTTCATGGTGGCTGCTACCCAGTGCTATTCCCTTTGAGTCTCCCAGAAGAACCTTGTCCTTTGATATGGAAATGGAGCCTAATTTGCAACAATCTTGACAAACAATTATTAACAGAAATATGTTCTCAGAAGCCTAAACTGCAGCATGCCTAATCTACAATCCAAGGTACAACTGTTTCTTACCATTTCTAAAGAGTCTGATTTGTTTAAAAGTCATATTAGAGGCAGCACTGTTTTGGCTGAACTCTACCTTGTGTAACTCAGTATTTCCTAAGCACGTTTGCTTTTGCCGAATCCACTGTAACTGCCATTCATTACTCTCAGTTTTTCCTATATCACGTCTATACCTTGGTCTATACCCTGGTCCATCTCCTGTACTTGTCCAGTGCTGCTATCATAGCATGAGTCCCACCCCACAGCCACACTAATGTAGTATTGCTCAGAATGTCCAGCATCCATGCAGACCTTTGTGGGGACGGAGTAACCCTGAAACTGCTGTGCCCTCAGAAGGGCAAGGGTGGGCAGGAGAGGGATTCCTACTTACCAACCTGTGTCTAGGTGTTTTCACAGTGTAACTGCAATGTCTGCACTGACTAACCAAAACCCTGGTTCCCTTATGCTTGGCAGCTTCGAGACAAGTATGGAGATGTGTTCACAGTGCACCTGGGACCCAGGCCCGTGGTCATGTTGTATGGGACAGAGGCCATAAGGGAGGCTCTGGTGGATCAAGCTGAGGCTTTCTCTGGCCGGGGGACAATTGCAGTTGTTAAACCTGTCTTCAAGGACTACGGTAGGAGTCTCAAAGTTTGGGATGAGGTGGAATGGGGAATGGGCACAGAGAGTGGAGAAGACGGTGGAAACGTGGACAAGGGCTGGGGAAGACCAGGTTTCCTTGAACTTCCTCTGTTCTTGGAACTTACCCATGCTTCCCCTACTTTCTCAGGCATGATCTTTGCCAATGGGGAACGCTGGAAGGCCCTTCGGCGATTCTCTCTGGCCACCATGAGAGACTTTGGGATGGGAAAGCGGAGTGTGGAGGAGCGGATTCAGGAGGAGGCCCGATGTTTGGTAGAAGAGTTGCGGAAACACCAGGGTGAGTCCCGGAAAAAGGGCATTAAGAAAGTTGGTTAAGTAGGAACATGAGTGCACAGCCAAAGAAAGATATACATCACACATACCACACACACACACATACACACACACACACGCACACCAACACACATACACACACACCAACACACACATACACACACACACCAACACACACACATACACACACACACACACTGCAACACACACATACACACATCCCAACACACACACATACACACACACTTGTGAGAGGATGATTGGGGGAGAGAGAAATACAGAAAGACAGAGAAAGAGATGCAAAGCTCGCGGTGTCCAAGAATAACTCAGAGATGTAGACTGAGTGATTCACATGCTGGCTGCTTATGTTCAGGGAAATCAATGCCTGGGTAAAGAATATGTGTCATTTTGGCATGATAGCACACACCTGTCATCCTAGTACTCAGGGGGCTGAGACAGGAGGGTCATGAATTCAAAAGTAGTGTGGCTACATCATGAAATCTTTCCTCGAAGAGGAGAAGGGGGTTGATGCTGTGGGCGCAGCTGAGGCATGCTGGACTTGCCCAGCACGCAGACGGTTCCCAGTCTGGTCCCTACCACCACAACGCTGGCATGGTGATGCATGCTGGTCATCTCGATATAGCTGAAGTGGAGGCAGGAGTTTGGGTGCTGATGTCATCCTGACTTTATGTGGTATACCAGGCCATCTTGGTTATATTAAATAGTCTCAACACATTGTCTGTGTCCTAGGCAGGTGTTGGAAGCAGCGGACTGTGGTTTTTTTCAGGTGGATCTCCTGATGGTGTTTTACTTTGTGGCAGTCAGAGCATTTCTGGGTACTTATAGAAACTTCCCATCAGGGCTACAGTGGTGACCGAGTTTGTTTTAGCACCTCATTCCTCCCTGCCGGCGTTCACCCTAAGATTTCTCAGGAGACTATGAGAAGGGAGGAGAAGGAATGTAGGGACTGAGAAGAAAGGATGAGAGAGCAGGGTGACAGAGACCAAGAGTCTGAGATGGAGCAAGAGGAACCAAACGAGAAAAGACAGGGGAGCGGGAGTGGGGGAGGAGAGGGGAGGAAAGGAAAGCAGGCTCCAGGAGGGGAAAGAGAAAGAGAGAAAACGCTCAAGACCTCTATACAGGAAACCAGAGACAGATCAAGGCTCACAAACACCAGGGAAAGATCAGCAGAGGAATCGGGGACTACAGACAAGCGAGACCCAGACAGAGAGGGGCAAATGGCCCAATATTGTTGGGCTGCCAACATCCCTTCCACCATGAGGGTCCATGATGGAACCTAGCATTCAAAGGCAGCCGCAGCAGGTGCTGATGGTTCTTGGAACACCACAGAGCCTAGAATCAGAAAGTAATGGGGAAAGACTTGCAGAGGAGAGACTTCTAAATCCACTTAAGCAACCAGAGGGAGTTAGCTTGCTGCCCTGGGAGGAGGTGCAGGGTAAGGGCTAACTTACACATGTTCTCCTTCTCAGCTCCCCGGTATGAATCCAGTCCCAGTCATGAGTAGCTGTGTTACCTTGGAGAAGTTAGCTACTGTCTCTGTGTATACAAGTAGCATTGCATCCTCTGTATAATACTGAGAGGAAACTAAATAAAATGGTGTGTGCAATCTTGAATGCAGGACCTGGAGCATCATCTGTTCAAATGGGGTAGCGGCTGTTGCTATTCTTTGTGTAGTGAGTGATGGGGACAGCTTTGCAGAGATGGGGACAAGGCCAAATATTTCTCTTCATGTCATGTCTCCCGTCCTGCATGCTCATCCTCCAGGAGCCCCCCTGGACCCCACCTTCCTCTTACAGTGCATCACAGCCAACATCATCTGCTCCATTGTCTTTGGAGAGCGCTTTGACTACAAAGACCGCCAGTTCCTGCGCCTGCTGGACCTGTTCTATCAGAGCTTCTCACTCATCAGCTCACTCTCCAGCCAGGTCAGTGGGTGGGAAGAGAGAAGCATCTGTAACGAGTACGGTTTTTCCGCCTGCCAAGCATCCAAGGCAGAGGAAGAACAGGCTGCTCTGTGGGTGAAGAAGGGAGTGGCCTAGAGCTGGAAGAAAGGCAGAGACGACATGGAGGGAAGGAGGTTGAGAGCAGGAGTGACAGAGTGATGGGGAATAGGGTGGAGAAAACATGGAGAGGCAAGGACCTGAGGTCTGGAGGGAAGGAGGTAGAGTGGCTGACGTGGTAGAGAGACCCGAATGCAGAAACACAGCTCCATCCAGACATGAGAAAATGATGACATGGGGACTGTGGCTGGAGCTAAGAGGGCAGAGGACTCGTCTATCATGTTTCCATTCCTGGGTTCATCTCTAGCACAACATAAGGCAGGCATGGTTGGTACACGTATGCAATCCCAGTGCATGTGAGATCAGAGTCAAAGGCCACCTTTGGATAAATATTGAGTTTGAGGACAGTCTGAAAGATAGGAGACCCTGATTGGGAAAAAAAATGGATGGATTAGGAAAGAGAGATAAGAGAATTCAAGAGAAGTGCTGGACACAGATTCAGAGGGAAGACTGACAGCAGGCCCTGTGTGATTGGAAAGGAAGGAACAAGAGAAGACGAGGAAAGGATGCGGAAAACAAAGGGAGGGATGTGGAGAGTATAGGAAGAGAGCGCAGATCCTCATGAAATACGGGGATCTAGGAGCACATCCTGCTTCTCAAGACCTGATAGCTCCAGGTGACCTTCCGGACACTTCTTTCCTGCAGGTGTTTGAGCTCTTCTCTGAATTCCTGAAATACTTTCCTGGTCCCCACAAACAAATCTCCAAAAACCTCCAGGAAATCCTTGACTACATCGGCCACAGCGTGGAGAAGCACAAGGCAACGTTGGACCCCAGCAATCCAAGAGACTTCATCGATACCTACCTTCTACGCATGGAGAAGGTGCGTCCTGCATGAATGGGAGGGGATGGGTGGCAGTGATGGCTGAGGGGTGAGAAGAGGAAATGAGGGGCAGGGGTGGGGGATGAGAGACAGGAAATGGAGTGGAGGAGATGCAGAAGCATCTGGAAAATGATGAAAGAAATAGGGAAGAGAAAATGAAATCAGGAGAAAGAAGGCTGTGGAAGAAACACAGGGCAAGGGACAAAAGGCAGAAAACACCTCAGAGTAAGAAAGAGCCTGGGACACAAACCGTGATAAACTACCAGAGGGCAGAGTAGAGAGAGAAACAGAACACACAGGGACCAGGTGACATCGCCGAGGACTGAGAGACACCATGTGGTCCATAGAGTGAGACGGAAGGACAGTGCCAGGATGTGTGTGTGTGTGTGTGTGTGTGTGTGTGTGTGTGCATCCCCCTGCAAGGTTCCAGTCACCCTGACCCTCCCTTCTCTCCCATCTGGAACCAGGAGAAGTCCAACCCACACACGGAGTTCCATCACCAGAACCTCATGATCTCCGTGCTGTCTCTCTTCTTTGCTGGCACCGAGACCAGCAGCACCACGCTCCGCTATGGCTTCCTGCTCATGCTCAAATACCCCCATGTTGCAGGTGCGCCCCAGGAGGCCAGCTGGGGACTCTTCTAGCTCCCTTTTGGCTGTGGAGGTCTGTGTGGATGAGAGAGACCTGGGCCTCTTCCACCTGGAACTCTGAAGGCTTTGGTCTACTTCTAAACTAGGGCAGCGCTGTGGGTGGTGCGTGAATGAACCCTCAGCTGATCTGTTTTCCATTGTTCTCTCCTGTCATTTAAACGTTGATCCATCCATCCATCCATCCATCCAACCATCCATCCATCCAACCATCTATCCATCCACCCTTTTAGCCATCCTTCTATCCATCTATGCACCCATCCTTCCTTCCATCCTTTACGTATCTTTCTATTCATCTTTATTTCCATGCTCCTGTTCAATCACTTTCTTACTCTGTTTGTTCACCTACCTATCTGTCCACCCATTAACCTGTCTGTCATCCACCTATCCCTTCATTAGATTTTACATGCCTCTGAACATTTATCTATCTATCCAAACACCTATTTATTCAACCATCCTTCCATCTACCTACCTATATGCACTTATTCACAAACACACATACACACTCATTCTCATTCTTTGAGTCTCTGTCTGTCTGTCTCTCTCTCACACACCCCTATAACCCACCTACTTGAGCATACGTCAATCCACTGTCCAATTGATTCTTCAATCACCCAACCAAACATTTCATCCATTTATTTCAGTTAATCAACTTCGTTTTTCCTTTGATCAGTGGAACTGAATAAATTATCCATTACTGATTTATTCACACACTCATGTATCCTTCTATCAACAGGTGACATTCCTTTATCCATTCACTAACTGGCCTTTGAATTCATCTTTCGTTTGTTTATCTATTCCTCCATTTATCCACTAATTGAATCATCTGTTGTCTTACAAGTTGAATACACAATCCAGTGTGTAGTCTGTTCATTTCCTTAACCTCTGAATCTGTCCATTTACTTCTTGATTTTCTATTAATTTTCTTTGTATTATTTTTTATATCCATCTATTGAGAGATTCATTTACTAATCTATCTACTTCTCTGTTATAATTCTGAGGTTACAGTCTCGAGTTCTGAATATAAAATTACATGCAAATTTATGGTGCATGTGAGAGTGTGTGTGCATGTGTGTGTGTGTGAGTGGGCGTATGTGTGTGTGTGCATGTGTGAATTTGTGTTTATGTGTGTGTATGTGTGTATATATGTATGTGTGTGTATGTGTGTACATATATATGAGTATGTGTGTGTGCATGTGTGTATGCGTTTATATATGTATATATATGTGTGTGTACGTGTGTGTGTATGAATACAGGGTCAGTTTATTCCCTTGCAAAGGTGAGAATATTTACTGCTTTTTTCCCCTCACACTCCCACACCAACATGGTTGCTATGCTATGAATTTTCCATATGCAGTATCCCTTTCTGTATGTTCCTCTTTCATTTTTAAAACCCTGATGAAATGAGGTTGAAACTACAGAGGAGAGCTTTAATTTAGTTTTAACATGGGCACAGAATGACAGTTTCTTAAGGGAAGGACAGTTGTGTACACTCAAGTACACTGAGCTTTTCAGGAGAGTCTCCTTGCTGGACTCTTTCTTGGGATATTGCTGATAGAGTAAAATTTCATAGCTACAAAGCTCGAAGACTAGATTCACTGTCCCTCTTTGCTGTGCAGAGAAAGTCCAAAAGGAGATCGACCAGGTGATCGGCTCACACCGACTCCCAGCCCTTGATGACCGCACCAAAATGCCATACACTGAGGCCGTCATCCATGAGATTCAGAGATTTTCAGATCTTATCCCGATTGGTGTGCCACACAAAGTCACCAAAGACACATTGTTCCGAGGGTACCTGCTCCCCAAGGTGAGACCCTCTGCCATCCCACAGCTCTACTTCATGAGCCTCCTGCACTCCCCTGAAACCTAGTATCCATCTGTTTGTGGTTTCTCAGCATTCCTTAATTTTTATTGATGGATTGGCTGTCTGCATATGTGAGTCAGGGCATATTAACACCTTTGTATCTTGTGATGCCTCCTAGGACACCGAAGTGTACCCCATCCTGAGCTCAGCTCTCCATGACCCACAGTACTTTGCACAACCAGATACCTTCAATCCTGACCACTTCCTGGATGCCAATGGGGCCCTGAAGAAAAATGAAGCTCTTATGCCCTTCTCTATAGGTGAGAGGGACCTGTGCTTCCTTTCCCAGACACCAGAGGAAAGGCTCATCCTCCAGGACACAGACAGGGCTAGGTCCATGTTTACTGAGTGTATTCCAGCTGCTCTGCCTGAACCATCCCATTCACCCTGGCTACAGTCCCACAAGGGGACTCTTGAACTAAAGGAACATTTTGGTCATGAGGCCAAGGTGTGTTTCTCTGGCTCTGGTTTCAGAGTCAGGCTGTAGGCTCAGGACTGAAGTGTTTCCTTCACTGGCTCAGGTTTAAGGCCAGGGTGTGTTTCTTTTACTGGCTGTGGGTTCTGGCTCTGTGTGATAGATTTATGGTCAGGGATTGGTTGCTTCTTTGGCTGGTCTCTATACCCTACAGTACTCTCCTTATGAGCCTCTATACTCTCTGTTCTCATTCTCTGTCTGAGGGATTCTAGGCAAGTGCTCTGCTGCCGAGCCATGTCAGAGCGAAGAACTGTCTAGTCTTGAGTGTCCAAGTGACCTCAGTGACCCTGGGCTTAACCCTCCTTCCAGCTCTGTCCAGTGTAATGGACTCATGTCATATTTCATCTTCAGAGTTGTGGATATGTGACGTGTGAGATAAAAGTGAATTGTCCAGATAACAGACCCGAGTTTAGGAAGGCAGTGGTGTGGGAATCAAGGGAGGTAAGAAGAAGGCATGAAGAGATGCGTGACTACATAGGGTTAGGCATAGCTAGGATGTCAGTAGGAAGTTTACGAAAAGTAAACAGAAAAGAGATAAAAAGACACATAGCAATGATAGATACAGACACAGGCTCAGACAGGCTGCTGCAGGACACAAGCAAGCAAGAGAGTGAGCAAACAAGCATGCCAAAAGGACATTAGAGCCAAAGAGATAGGAACCCTGTCTAAGTGTCCAGCTCCAGGCTTTTGGACACTGTGTTGAGAGTGAGACGAATCATTAAAAGCTGCTCTGGAAAAATCTGTTCACAAAACCAGTTCTGAGAGAACCATCTCAGAGAGCAACTCCATAAAATTCTCAGCTCATGTAAGCTATGTTCTGTAAATGGGATTCCCGGGGCATAGTGTACTTTCCCTATACACCCATACACAGGTACAATTTCTCAACAGCTGGAGGGCACAGGCGTTGCTGGGCAATCCCTCCTTCACCTAGAGGACTGAGGCATCAGTTGCAGATGAAGAATCACTGAGGTACAGGGCAGGTGTTGGAGCCTCTGCATAGGTGTTCAGGCTCCCATTGCTCTGTGGTGCTGGATGCCTAAGGTGATGAGCCTGTACAGGCTCCTTATACCCCTGAGAATCCAGTGGATGCCATAGATCCCTTATCATGTGCCCCTGCCCCGTCTCAATTGTAGGAACAATTGTATTTGGGAACTTGTGGATCTCAAGCTGAACAAGGACAGAGTGAGGGGAGAGTGTGTGTTGGGAGAGCAGGAGGGAGGAGAGACAGAAGGGATGCACAGAGACAGAAGGGATGAAGTCCAGGCTGCTCTGAAGGCTTGGGACCCCAAGTGCTGCACTTAGAGATTGTCCCTCCATGTCTGGCTCACATAGGACCTTAGCACCATCCAGGTGTTAATCTAGGAGTTTTGTAAACAGAACCTTCACCCTTGGGGCAGACAAGTGAGCTGGGTATCAATTCCCTCCCACGAGAAGGGAAGGACAGTAAAGGTGTTGCATTATACATGTATGCTAGAAATCAGTCAGAGTGACAATGAGACATCCACCAACAAATTGCCACACATTATGATTTATTTATTCCTCTCATACATGGTTACATGCATAGACATGTGTGCTATGATGTGTGTTTATGTCAGAGGACAACTGTGAGTGTTGGTTCTCTCCTTGTAGCACGTGAGTTCAGGGGACTGAACTCATATCCTCGGGATTAATGGCAGCTCCTTTCCATGGTTAGACATTGGTGCTGGCTCTTGAACAGTTCTTTAAGGATTTGGGAATCTCTTAACATTGTCACTGAATTGCAGGTTGAGGGTCAAACCTTCTTATTCATTGCAATGGGCAGAGTTGTCTGGGTTAGGAATGTGACAGTGTGAAGGTTGTATACTGCCCTGGGGCTCACATGGCTCATCCTCTGTGCCCACAGGGAAGCGCATTTGTCTTGGAGAAGGCATCGCCCGCAACGAATTGTTCCTTTTCTTCACCACCATCCTCCAGAACTTCTCCGTGTCCAGTCCCGTGGATCCTAAGGACATTGACCTCAGTCCCAAGGAGAGTGGCTTTGGCAGAGTGCCCCCAACATACCAGATCTGCTTCTTGGCCCGATGACTGGGCTGAGGTGGCCAGGTGTCTCCACTCATGTTATAATGGCCCCATGTCTGCCTGTGAGAGACCTGAGGGAGACCAGGTCCTAGATCACTCCTCACCTCTTCCAACTTCCTGCAGTTTCTCCAAAGCTCTGAGATGTGTTCTCTGCCCTGGGAATGGCACTTGATGGAGGAATCCATCAAGTGATTGGGTGAACAGAGGGACTTTGGAGGCCACATGTCATACTGAGTCACTCCCCTATTGCTCTCAGCAGCCACCATCCCATGTGTCAGCTCCATGTGCACCATGACATAATCTAATGGGCTCTGTGTATGGTCTGAATTCAGCATGTATGGACATGTCTAATGTGTATGGTTCACATAAACACAATCATGTGGTGCCTGGCTTTGGTGTCTGGTGTCCTTCACTTCACACAGTATCATCTAGGTTCCTGTGCTTTGCAGCCCACAGTCACACACCTCCAAGTGCTTTTATCATGGTCTTTCTCAGAAAAACAACAATTGAATTGTTTCATGTGCTCTGCCAGCAGAAGGTATGGCCCAGATTTAGTGTGGGTCTTCCTGCTTCTAATAATCTGATAAGAAATCCCTCACAGGAGTGTCCAGAAGCCTGGGTTTTAGTTTAACTAGAGACAGTGAAGTTAACACTCACGAGCAGCCATCACAGTGCCAGTCCATGGTCTCCTGGCTAGTCTGACCTGTGACCTCTTGATAGTCTACTAACTAAGATTCTTTCTGAAAGAGCTTCTTGCTGCAAACTCCATCCATCCATGCCATGTTTGGGAAGGGGCAGCCTGCAGCTTTGTTTCCTGCTCAGCTGTGAGATCCTGGAGGAGCAGGTGGTTGATACCAGGTGTTTCATATAGTGGATGGGTAACCAGTAGGTACATAAACAACTCAATAAAGTGACGAGGCCAGTCACTCCTTCATCTTGCCTTAGGTGCAGCTCGCCCTTGTATGTATCTGTCACTATTCCCTTCTGATGACTAGAGAAAATCCTTGTCCCCAGAGTGTCCATGTGGACCCCAGTTCTATGAGTCATCTACTCTCTCTGTCTCGCCACCTTCTGACAGAAGCGTCTGGGAGCCCCCTTTGAGTGGTGTCCTGTTATGAGTATGTTTTCCTGCTGCCCTGGTCCCAGAGCCGCGCCAGCCCCAAATAACACACAGAGACATTGTATTAGATATAAATGCTGTTGCCCTGTTACTAGTTTCTTATCAGCTAGTTCTGTCTTAAATATTAACCCATATTTATTAATCTAAGTACTTCCACATGGTCTTATCTTACCAGAGAAAGAGAGTCCAGAGTTCTCTCTTGGTCCTACACCTTGAATCTCCCCCTACTACTTCCCGAATCCTCCTTGTCTCCTAGTCCCACTTATCTTGCTTTCCTATTGGCCAATACTGCTTTATTCATTAACCAATAAAAGAAGCATATTTACAGAATGACGACTCCTCTTTTCTGCCTAAAATAAAAAGATGGGTTTAAACCTTACCATAGAAAAATATATAGCAAAACAGTTATCAAATAAGAAGCACAGTTAATAATATTTAGCCCATTAACATTTAGCAAGATTTAAAGAAAATATTCCATCATCTATCCTACCTTTGTTGAGTTTTAAGTTCTATATGTAACTATCTTTAATACTAATTAGGGAAAACAGTAACTATGACTATCTGTCTACAACTTTATCAAATACCACAGAAGGCTAATATATAAACCCTAGAATTGACAGAGACAACTCACTGCCTGATCAGTCACCCGAAGTTCTTCTGTAATGTTTCATCGTTAGCCTTTAGGCCATAGTGTGTCTGGCAGACTCCCCAGCAAAGCAGGAAAGTTAAACTGTCTGCCTATATTGGCAGTTTGTCAGCCATTTTTATCTTTGTCCTGCAGACTGTCTGGAAGACTCTTCCATGAAGCAGGAATCCTGTAGCAATGTCCATCTTGTTTCAGCAGTCACTTTTCTGTGGATCCTGTATGTCCAGTTTATACAGTATAAAGTCCAACACTCCAGACAAGAGCAGTATCTTGACCAAATGGCTAGTCTTGCCATATTGGAGGCAAACTCCATAATGAGGTTCTTTGATGCCCATCTTCCTTTCTGACACAGGAGCAGTGTGTCTCACTGTCAAGAAAAACCCTAAACCATTTTAAATGCCATATTCTGTTGGTCTTTGAAAGGTATGAAGACTGTCTAGCCATCTCAAATATATCTTGAAAACCTAACTAACTTAAAACTTAGTTTTGACTATCATAGGTAACTATCTATACGCTATACTAAATTATACATTATATTTCTAAATGAGCTATATAAACACAATACCTAATTAAGAGGAGAAATGTACATATCACAAAATTAACCTTAAATTATATCAATAAATGAAAATCCATTCCAAAACAAAGTACTCATATCTAGACCATAATCCCCATTTACCTTTAAAAAGAGATTGGTTGTGGTCACTAACCATTTATAAACACAAACATTTATAAACAATATTTGAGAATTTGGGCATCATTCTTTCCAAATTGCTTCCTGCTGGTAGAGGTCTCTACCTTGGGGAATCCTAAGAAGATGTAGAAATCCTGGCTCTAGTGGTTTGCAAGGCTGCCTTGTCCCAGCTGTTTTGAATGTTGGATCACCTGAGACAATGTATCAGGGGCTCTTGCTTGATCAAACCATGTTAGTCTGGAAGAAATCCACAGCTTTTTATTTTCTGTGGAAATAAAAATAGAAATTCTTTCTCCCAGTAACCTGTCCTTAGACTTAAATTTTGAAGTCAAAGCATTTTAAAAATATATAAATTGAATTAATTTAGCAGCACTGATAATCAAGTGTATTGTAGCAATTGTTGTTCCTTCCTTAGCAATTGAGCAATTTCAAGACAACACAATAGCATATAATATCCACATTTTCTGTGTATTTTCCACTTTCATGTGGCTTTTTATTACTTTTTTTATTTTTATTTTTTCATTTTTGAGACAGGGTTTCTCTGTATAATTTTGGCTGCCCTGGAATTCACTCTGTACAGATAGGTTTACTTTGATATCACAGAGATCCGTTTGCCTCTGCCTCCTGAGTGCTGGAATTAAAGGAGTGTACCACCATATCCAGCTACTCTCTCCAGCTGCTCATACACACCATTGAATTGTTAGCAGTCATGGAGTTTCCCCTCCCCACCCCACCCCCTGCTTATGATGGGTTAGGAAACCTCCCTTAAAGGAGCCAAGCAAATTTCTGCTTTTCTCTAGCAAAACAGAGTCCCACTGAGAAAAATGTTGTTACCAAAAATCATTGCTTGTCTCTGTTCTTTTGTTTCTAAAATCCTGTTTTAAGATTTTGTGACGTTTTAAGTGAAAGTTCTTAGTAGCCACTTCGAAAGTGCTACTTTGTTACCAGTATGTTTTTCCCACGGCCTGGTCCCAGAGCCGCACCAGCCCCAAATAACACACAGAGAGTTTGTATTAGATATAATGCTGTTGGCCAGTTAATAGTTTCTTATCAGCTAGCTCTGTCTTAAATAATAACCCATTTCTATCAATCTAATTATTTCCATGTGGTCTTATCTTACTAGAGAGAGGGCTGGGACCTCTGCTCTCTTCGTCCTACATTTTGAATCTCCTCCTACTACTTCCCAAATCCTCCTTGTCTACTAGTCCCACCTATCTTGCTTTTCTATTAGCCAGCAGTGCTTTATTCATTACAATTAAGAGAAAAAAATTTTACAGAATGACATCTCCCAACAGTGTCCCCCGAATCTCAGCTTCAGCACACTGCACTGCTGAGACTAACAGGGGCTTGTGGGGGGTTTTGTTTACTTAACATCGTCACCTAGGTAGCTGTCTCTGGGCAGACATTCGCCAATCAGCAGCCAGCTCTCGACTCACCTCTGAGATACTAAATTTCCACCTGCCTCACCAAGCTCTCTGTAGCCTAGGGAGAGTTACCAGGAGCTTTGCCAAGGGATATTCCTGCCACATACTCCTCCACCACCCACGAAAGTAGAACAACAAACAGGAGCCTGCCCTTTGAGAAAAACAAGGGAGTGTGAAACTCACCAAGGTAGGACCATGGCACTCTGGCTTCTCCTGAACGTTGCTAGTCTGGACCTGGGGTGGATCCAATTCAAGGGATGTCTGTCTGCTAGACAATGTCTGCCTTGTCTGGAGAACACTTATCAAATAGACCCAGTAAGCTTACTCCAGTCCTTCCAAGGGGTGATATGTGGAGGAGGTCAGGGTGAGGAGGCTGGAGGGGGAGGAAGTGATCCTCACACAACAAGGAGTTACACGTCCATGGTTCAACAGGTGTCTGCTTGTCATGTTGGGACTTCTCTCCATGGTGTGGCAATAGAGAAGCTTCTAGAATTCTTAAGAAAACAAACCATGGGAAGGTGGGGAGGGAGATGGGTTCTGATAGATGTACTGTGCTCTTCATTGTGGAGAGCTGCATTTGCATGTTTGGAGTCTGTGAAAGTCACAACATCCAATCTGAGAAGGTTCTCAGAAAAGCTGGGAGCAGGCAGGGTCCTTGGGGAAGGGTACATGAGACATGGTCCTGAGAAACCACAGAGCTGAAGATTGGGTTCTTCTGTGGCGATGACCAGACAACACCAGCGAGTGTGATCCAGCGAGAAGAACCCATTGCTAGGTCAGCCTGTGAGCTCTGGGTCCTGCCTTCTGGCGAGGAGGGAAATATGGAGATCCTGTCCCAGCCTACATGGGCCTCAGCCTATTCTTGTCCTGGGTGTACATGACGGGATATGGGAGGCCCTAGTGAATCAGTCTGAGGTTTTCTCTGGACAAGGGCTCATGGTCATTTTAACTCATCTTCCAGGAAGTGGGGGGTGGTTCTGAGGATGGGATCAAGGTCTGGTGATGGGACTTTGGAAAACGTGGGTGATCCAGACGGGTCTGTGCAGGAGGTCAACATGATGATGGCACAGGGGAGGAGAGTGTGGAGGTTACACACCCAGATAGACTGATGCAGGGACAGATTCAGGGAGTGGGGTTGTCACTTCTCAAACATGGCGTGGAGAGATGGAGTTTGCAACAAGAAGACCTTCTGGAGAAAACCTTAGTTAGCAGGCCATCAACAGGTTACAGGTCAGGCTAGCGGGGAGACCATGGACTGGGCATAGTGATGGCTGCTCGTGAGTGTTAACTTGACTGGATGTGGCATCAACTAAAACCCAGGCTTCTGGACACTCCTGTGAGGGATTTCTTATCAGATTATTAGAAGCAGGAAGACCCACACTAAATCTGGGCCATACCTTCTGCTGGCAGAGCACATGAAAGAAGGTAATTGTGTTTTTCTGAGAAAGACCATGATAAAAGCACTTGGAGGTGTGTGACTGTGGGCTGCAAAGCACAGGAACCTAGATGATACTGTGTGAAGTGAAGGACACCAGACACCAAAGCCAGGCACCACATGATTCTGTTTGTGTGAACCATACACATTAGACATGTCCATACATGCTGAATTCAGACCATACACAGAGCCCATTAGATTACGTCATGGTGCACATGGAGCTGACACATGGGATGGTGGCTGCTGAGAGCAATAGGGGAGTGACTCAGTATGACATGTGGCCTCCGAAGTCCCTCTGTTCACCCAATCACTTGATGGATTCCTCCATCAAGTGCCATTCCCAGGGCAGAGAACACATCTCAGAGCTTTGGAGAAACTGCAGGAAGTTGGAAGAGGTGAGGAGTGATCTAGGACCTGGTCTCCCTCAGGTCTCTCACAGGCAGACATGGGGCCATTATAACATGAGTGGAGACACCTGGCCACCTCAGCCCAGTCATCGGGCCAAGAAGCAGATCTGGTATGTTGGGGGCACTCTGCCAAAGCCACTCTCCTTGGGACTGAGGTCAATGTCCTTAGGATCCACGGGACTGGACACGGAGAAGTTCTGGAGGATGGTGGTGAAGAAAAGGAACAATTCGTTGCGGGCGATGCCTTCTCCAAGACAAATGCGCTTCCCTGTGGGCACAGAGGATGAGCCATGTGAGCCCCAGGGCAGTATACAACCTTCACACTGTCACATTCCTAACCCAGACAACTCTGCCCATTGCAATGAATAAGAGGTTTGACCCTCAACCTGCAATTCAGTGACAATGTTAAGAGATTCCCAAATCCTTAAAGAACTGTTCAAGAGCCAGCACCAATGTCTAACCATGGAAAGGTGCTGCCATTAATCCCGAGGATATGAGTTCAGTCCCCTAAACTCACGTGCTACAAGGAGAGAACCAACACTCACAGTTGTCCTCTGACATAAACACATGTCATAGCACACATGTCTATGCATGTAACCATGTATGAGAGAAAGAAATAAATCATAACATGTGTGCCAGTTTGTTGGAGGATATCTCAGTCATGTCTCACAGATTTGTAGCTTTTCTAAGATTATCAATCCTTTGATACAGAACTGATAGACCCCAC